CAGATGCTTCCTCTGGAAGGGAAACGTTTTGTTCTTTCCTTGATATTAGAAAACACGACTTTATTTGTGAAAATTCTGCCAGACTTTGCAACCATGAATTTGTGATTGTGCTCGGGATGTGCAAATAAGCTTTGAATTCTTTTTTTATAGAAGTAAAATATTTGTTGTTTTTGAAATTAAAGACTCTGGGGCGTTATCTCCAATGGAAATTGTATTGGCAATTGTAACTCATATCAGGGTAATAAAGTCAGCACAAAAAGAAAGGAAGTGTGTGTAAATCTTTGGCTGTTGGAAAGCTCGTTAATTTCCTTTTTAAATGGTGCCACATTTGTGCTTGAGCATGTGGAGGTAAACGTTATGTTCAGTGAGAAGTCCAGAATCTTCATATCACAGTTGGATCATAGGGTCAACACATGAAGACTGCTGATTGCTGCACTGATGGAGAAACATCTTTTAGTGGAGGCAGTGTGACGGTGTGGCGTGACATCTTCCTCACTTGAAAACAAGACTTGTCTTTTAAATGCAGAGAAATATGAAGATGATATTTTTCTACCTGTGGCGATCCCATAACTGGCACCAAAGTCTATCCTCCAAGATGACAGCAGCTGTCTCCACAGAGCAGGGTTCATCAGAGACTTCATGTCGGGTGACCAACACAACTGCACTGCCTTACTTTAGACAAATGCTGTTGTAGCGCTGTACGGATCTTCTACTGAAGCTCCTGTTTGTGAAATTAATAACATTTTCAATTGCAATATGTTTTGTTTCTTAAGACTACGATCATCCAGTCCACCAAACAAGAGTCAGTGGCAGAATAAGCTGTTTGGCATGAGTAAAGAAGACTTTTTTCATGGGTACAACCCACAAACTCAGAAGCATGTTTTTGACAATTGTGGCACCATTTAAAGGGAGATAAGCGGGTTTTTCAACAGTGTAAAATTTATTTCTGAGAAACATTTTGACAACAATGAAAAAATTTATTAAACACAAATTTCCCCCGTTCACAAATATATGGAGAAGTTTTTGTGTGGTGTTTTGTTAAACCTGAGGGTTCGGGTCGGTCAAACTTTAAATAATAAATGTCTTTCTGAGGATTTTTCTGAAGTCAAGGATAAAGTAACCTTTATGTCACTTCACATTTCCAACACAAAACAGTACATATTGATCTGACAGCAAAGCTTAGAGACGAACAGTTCTTCACCAGAGTCAGTCCTGCACAACTTTCTTCAATTCATGACAAGCTTAAGTTCAGATTCTACAGAACCGGACTGCCTAGATGTTTTATTGACTCGTTTCTGGGAATAAGATTATCATCTCCTGCCTGCCCACTGGGATACATTTGATATGTTTGAATACATGGTGGACAGACAGGAATTCTTGTGATGTGCATCAAGAGAATGAGGCAGAGAGAGACAGAGTCAAAACTCACATCCAAGGTGAGAGACGATCTGAAGCAGCTGTGCTTTGAATACAGAGTGATACGAAAAAGAAACAGAATACTATCATTAAAGAACGGTATAAAGGTCCGGCTGCCACAAAGTGTTTGTCCAATCACAGCTTAGAAATCTAACTCACTAAACTGGACCGTGGTAAAACTACGGATTTCTACATCAGAGCTTAAGACAGTGTGTTGCATGTCAAGTGGACTTACATATATATATTTTTAAATTTGTAGAAGATTTTGTACAAACTATAATTACAGTTAGGCAGCATAAGTAAAGAAGAGGAACCTCACAGGGACGAGGATGTTGCACTAGTCAGCACGGCAGCTACTCTTGGGTTAAAATAGTTACTGATATTTTATTTTAGTTTATTGTAGTTAAGCCTTAAATGTCAGTTATATAGTGTTTTTCAGCTAAAGTGCACCTATAAACACCATTAGGCAGCCTATAGCTCTGCTTATTAGTAAATAGCACAACATGAAAATCCTTTTTTTTTTTCAAGCACAGAAGCTCAATGGCATCTTGCAGCACAGTATGGCTGGGCAGTATTTTACTTTGAGATGCTTCAGACTTGACCTTTTGATGCTTTGACATTCAGACAACCTTATATGCTGAGGAGTTTTTAGCAGTGCAAACAATTTGTTCACATATTTCTACAACCTGTTGACTGATAGATCAGATATTTAGCCGACTGATGGAGAATAAAAAGCTTTGGTCCTGAATAAGATGACATCGTGATTTATCTATTTTTGAATTTGCCTCATTCTGGACTTTCTGCACCATGAGCACGAAAAAGGTTGAAATGTGAGACACAAGTTGAGAGGTGAAGGTTTGCTCAGAGTGTGGTTAGTAACAGTAAAGTCACAAAAAGAGGAAGGGTTAGGGTGAGATCGTTGTTGACACATGCTACACTGCCTGTAACCAGCAGAAACATCCATCGATTGATGCAGTACAAAAGTTTATCTATTTATTTAATGTTTGTATTTGTAGTCAGAAATCTCAAACATCGCCACATATTAGAGCACTTGCTTATTTGTATGCTCATCCTCACATGTCCCTTTAAAATAAACATAAATCAAATACACTGGAGACAGAACAAAACAATGTCTGATTTCAGTTTGTGACTCAAGTTTGGGACGAGGCACACATACTAAAGAACGAACTTTCACAGGATGTGGGTTCTTCAAAGGAAATGTGAGGATGGGAGGGCTGAGGGTTCCAGGTTGCGTAAACCCATATGACTCCTACATTTCACACATATGTTTTCCATTTGTTTCCCAGCAATGCATTATAACATAAACTCTGGGTCTGAGCTGAGGTCTTAGCACACTCTCCCACAGTCTGAAGCATTACTGCATGGTGAAAAGGAAATCAAGTGAAATTGTGCTTCTCTGTCTATATATCTCTTGGCCCTGGCTCGAACTGACTGCATGTTTCTCCCTACTGTAAATGTGTAATGGGGTAAGCGCCAACAGCTCCACCCTAAGCTGGAGGAGAAGTTCAGGGGGATGGTGCAAGGATCTTTGTCTTATCAGTATAAAACAAGCTGTAGAAATAAAACTTTCTCTGGAGAAGATCAGATGAAGTAACTCAAGTGTTGTGCACTAGGAAAACTCACAGTTTCTCATGGCTCTCTGGTGGTGAGAGTCAAACAGAGGTTATCAAATCAAATCAAATCAAATCAAATCAAACTTTATTATAAAGTGTTTTTCCTACAAAAGAATGTAACGTAAAGTGTTTTACAGTCAAGCTTAAAAACAAAATCTATCCCAGATACCCCCCACACACACACACACACACACACACACACACACACACACACACACACACACACACACACACACACTGAGATGGTGGACATGAGGCTGTATACATGAACTGTGTGAGGATGTAAAGCTGCAGTGTGCACATTTTGTACTTTCTGTGACATTTTAGGGTAAAAAATATTAAAAATAAGAAACTGACAAAGACACAAATACAAACGTGTCTTTGGAGACTTTGTGTCACTGACGATAAATATGCATTTTCTAACACTAATTTTAATGTACCAAGCAGCTGGTTCCTTTTTGTAGATTAAACTTATTATTTTTTTGCACTACAGCTGATTCCTTCATATGCCACCAACAAGAAGGTATATAAAAGCTGCTAGATGTGACAATATTGTTTGGCAAATTGCGCCCTCTAGTGAGTTTTGACAGGAACAAGCAGCAAACGGTGGCACTTGATCCCAGTTAGTGTATTTTAACAGGGTTACCCCCTTTCCTTTGTTGTAATGTTGAAGTTACTGTTGAAGCACTTTTTTAAGGAATGGGTTCTGATGGTGGTCAAAGTAAAATCTAATGCCTTACATTCTTCTAGCACGATCTAAATGACATTATACTTTTAAGGTACAACATACATTTGATCTGTTGACTATCAAAACGTCTCATAGTATTTTGTGAACAGAGTACGTCATTAAGGTCATATAAGTGATTGTAACTTGCTATGTATAATCTTGTCCGCTCAGGACACCGAAACATGTCAGCATTTTCACAAATGTGTGGCGTATGGTGTATTTTGTGGACCCAGAAGCAGACACAGAGAGAGATTATAAATTAAGATGTAATTTTAATTTCCAACTCAGGGAAAAAGGCACAAGAGAAAGTCCAGTTGGTTGGCTGGCTGTTGTGTGGGCTGGAGACACTGTTGAGAAGCAGAGGAGAAGGAGGTGAGAAGACATACAAGGAATCACAGGGAGCAAAATTACTCACACTTAGCTAAGGAGAAGCGTCTGTATCACTCAGGAGTGAAGACAATAATCAGGCGCTGAGACTGAGGGCTGCTGGCTTCTTAAAGGGCTTGATTGTAGATGCCGTGCAGGTGTGGATTCTCACTCAGCCTCAGCGACTGGGAGGGGGAGGGTGCTCTGAAACATAACCAAGCCAGACCTGAGGTCTGGACTACGAAGCTGGATTAACACATCCAGGGTAACTCTGCAACAACTCTCTCAACTTCACCGGATCTCCGTGATCCCGATCAGCTGTACTACGAAGCCGGTTATCAACTCGATAACTGAATCCAGGTGTGGCCCCTCAGATGTGTGCGCGCACACGTAAAGGGGGTGGGGTCAGTTCCACCGGACCAATCTCCACAATGGAGAAGGCTGCACGTCATTTTTCACAGCCGAGGAACAGAGCATTATTTTATCAGGAGTACCGCAACGTTATAACAGTGAGGAGCAGGACAGCTGCAGCCGCTAAAAACCGGAGGGACTGCCGGCAAAAAAAATCACCGGTTATGTAAATTACATTTGTGCGTTCATAAATTTATGGCCCCCTAATATATTGTCATGCAGCGTGTGTGATAACCTCCATCACTGACCTCATTATTTCAGATACAACAGCAGTGGGAAAAAGAGTAGGTGGGAGCAAATAAAAATAAATCTAAAAACATCCTTTAAAGTAGTTTGTAAGTTTATTGGAAGATTTTATTTGTACATATTTCAACGCGTAAACAGTGATTTCCTCACACTGCCTTTTTTTTTCTCCATCATCTGATGGTCACATGTCATCTGCAGACACATTTGGGGTTAAGAGTTTTCTAATCTGCTTCAATAAATTCTGAATGATGACTGATATGCTGCATGAAACTTGAACTTGGAGCTTGGCAAATATAAGTGCATTGCTTAGACTTCATGCAGCCTGAATATTGAGGCCGTCCGAGGAAACCTCTGTAACGGTAGAGGTAACGTTCGTAGAGAACGTCATCAGGTAAATCAAACGGGTTTGAACGATCATGAATATAACGCTCTTGGCGAAGCGCTCCTCTCACTATCCGTGCAACGATGTCCCCGGGATCCGGCAAAAGTGGGCAAGCCATTTTCCAAGAGATCCGATTGGTCATTGGGCGGTCTTTTATACCTGCTGAGCTCTTATCCTGAAACATAACCTGCTCTGGAGCAGGTTTGGCGTTCTGCGTAAGTTACCGGGGCAACGGACCAGGATAAAAAGGGATCAACCTTCGTAGTACAGAAAACCCAGAAGTTATCCAGAAGTTATCTCGCTAAGACCAAATCCAGCTTCGTAGTACAGGCCTCAGAAAAACAAAGAAAAACAGGAAGTCCAACCAAAATAAAACATGAGGAGGAGGCGTCTCACCACAAAATGTCCATCTTTGGGCTCTTTGGTTAGGGTTAGGGTTAGGATTGCGGGAATAGGGGGCCTGTCTCCTAGAATAGGAGACAGGAGGTGCTCGGTCCATCCCCCAGAAGTTCCCCGTCCCCCATGACCCCTTCTGGTACTCTGGATTGTTGTTACGGTACTGGGGGCGACCACCTCTCCTTCTGTACCGAACCTCAGTCCATTGTTGTTCATCGTAAATCATGATTGTTTTTATCTTTTTTAAAGTATTTATTCCAAATTTTAAATGTAAGGTATTTATTAAACTATCTATCTATCTATCTATCTATCTATCTATCTACTCAAATCAAGATATTTAAAACAAAAGCCGTATTTAAAAAATAAAAAAATAATTGAATTGTTCTTTAATTTTTTATGCTTTTTTTGTTTTTTTTTCTGAAATAAAAATGACATAAAAGTAAAAAAAACTAAATAAAATGTCTATTAAAGTGAAGAAATAAAGAAAAGGTGTGAGAAAAAGTGCCCAGTCGTGACGTTTCGACCGCTGTGGGTCTTCTTCAGGCTCTAGGCACAGTGAAAGTAAATGTCTGGGCTTGTTTGATGCAGCTTGTGAGATGTTCTCCCTTCAGCAGACGTAGCCAGAATGAGAGGAGCCGAGGTTTGTGTGAGTGTTCTATTTATAGAGGCGGGGAGAGCAAAGAATGCAGCTGCACTCTGATAAGTCAGGGAGAGGCTCCGGCAGTCTGTATGTGTTTTAACCCCATAAATGCCCACTGAAATTAAATTAAATGAATGTCAATGTCCAATTAGAATTTTTTACCCTCTTTTTAGCTGATTAATTTATTGAATCGTAATTTTAATGCCCAATTTAAACTTTTGTATTTTGATCCCAGGATTGCAATTAGAATTTTATGAATTTAAATTTTACAGATAGTTTAAATAAATTTAGCCCTTAATTCCCTTTTTAAATTTAATATGAAATATACGTTTTTAATACTTTTGGATTAAATGTGAGATTTTTACTATTTTAAGCATGCTATGAAATTTAATACTTAATAATGAATGAAAAATAAATTAATAGTTTTTAAAGGGTTAGGGTTATGATATAGGGGATTGGGTTAGGGGTAGGGGTAGGGGTTAGGGTTAGGGTTAGGGGGTTTTGGGGTGAGGGTTAGGGTTAGGTATAGGGGGTTTGGAGGAGACCCACCCCCTTGGTAACATTTGAACGGAAGGTCGTAGAGCGCTGAAACTTGCACTTTGGGGGGGTGGAAGATTTTTCTGAGTCCAATGAGCCAACTCCCGAGTCTCTAGGACGTTCCTGAAAAAAGTTGATTTTTTCCCATAGGAATGCATTGGAGAAAAATCTCAAGATTTTTTTAAGTGTGGACCCAATTTTTCACCTTCCAGAATTGTGTTAGGAGCACGTTTCAGGCCACGGGGAGTCTGTAGAACCTGATTCTGGGTGAAGTTTCTGGGGGTTGGAGCTCTGCGGCAGGGATATAGGGCTATGTGCCACTTTTGACATGCCGGTTCATTGCCTTTCCCATCGATGAACCGGGCTGAGATTTGGTCTACCCCCCCATTTTCGGGTATGCTGAATCTAGAAATAGTAATGAACCAGCGATCGGACATTCCTATCAAAAGTTATGGCGAAATGGAAATTTCCCATTGAAAATGAATGGGAGCGGAAAATGGCCAAAGTCAGTGTTTGCAAGTGTTCTACTTTGTCTGGAAATGTTGAAAATGGGTTGTGAGCACGTTTCAGGCCATTTCCTGTCGTTTGAGGGTTAGCTTCTCGGAGTGCTCCTGTGTTAGAGGGAGACGGGAGTCATTCCCCAATCCTAACCCTAAGTTTCGACCCGACTTGGGTCTTCTTCAGGTCTGTGCACACATAAGAAAGGGCTGCTGGGCACCAATTCATAGGTGTTGACAGCAGCTAAAAAAAGAAGAAATGTCCCTGTTCCCTTCTCACCTTTTATACCTTTTAACAAATAATTAACTGAATTTCTCGGATATTTTATGTTATTTTCTACTCTATTTAATTTGAAAATGTTAACCCTTTAACTGCTGATTCTTATTAATCCAAAATAATATGTTTATGTTTAACCTGAGGTTAGGCTTAAGGCAGCATTTCTCAAAGTGTGTGGCCCGCCCCCCCAGGGGGGTGCGGAGCCATCTTTGAGAAGCTAACAAGTGGAGGGGATGCAGGGGGTGCATCTACGGCATAACACCTGTTAAGTATGCTGCTATCCCCACCTGTACAATGTCCTCCTGAAAGTGTACAAAGACGCTTTCTGCTGTGCTAATTCATGGTGGGAAGTAGCTCAGAAACCAGGGCGTAGATAACCACCAACGCCGTGCTATGCCTCTCACATTTTTAAAAGTGGTTTCCGTAACTTTAACCCTTAGACAGAAACCAGGGTCATTTCTCTAAAAAATTTAAATTCAAAATTAAAGATTGGAATCTTTTATAAACGTATTATTTGAAGATAATATCTCAAAGCTCGTAATTTGGAATCTTTCTTACAACTAACATTTGAAATGTGTGCCCCAAAATCTAAAATTGATCCAACCCCAACCCTACGTTTCAACCTAATCTAAACCCTAGGTCTGGCCTTTACCCTGTGTCTAACCCTAACTCTAGTTCTTACCCCAACAGTAGGTCTAACCCTAACCCTAACAAAAGTTATAGCCCTAATCCTAACCCTGGGTTTAACCCTAACCCTAGCCCTAACTCGAACCCTAGGTGTAACCCTAACCCAGCTCTAATATTAACCCTAACCCTAACCGTAGTGTTTGAAACTACTATCTAAGGTTGTTATTGAAAATATGTTTAACCACTGACATTTAAAATTTCAGACCCAAAGTCTGAAGTTCTAAAACTATCTGACACTCACCCTAGTTCTTAAAAAACCCCAAGGTCTGGTCATTACACTAACCTTGGGTTTAATTATAATCCTAACCCAGTGTGTAACCCAAAGCCTAACCCTAGACCTAAACCAAACCCAGCCCTAACCCTAACCCCAAACCCTAAACCCTAACCCCTAGCACTTGCACTCACCCTAGACCTAAACCAAACACTAATCCTAACCCTAACCCTAGCCCTAAACCAAACCCTAACCCTAGGCCAAACCCTAACCCTAACCCTAAACCCTAACCCTAACCCTAGACCTAAACTAAACCCTAACCCCTAACCCTAACCCTAGACCTAAACCAAACCCTAACCCTAACCCTAACCCCTAACCCTAGACCTAACCCTAACCCTAGGCCTAACCCTAATCCCAACCCTGACCCCTAACCCCAGCCCTAACCCTAACCCCAAACCCTAAACCCTAACCCCTAGCACTTACACTCACCCTAGACCTAAACCAAACCCTAATCCTAACCCTAACCCTAGTCCTAAACCAAACCCTAACCCTAGACCTAACCCTAGGCCTAACCCTAACCCTAACCCCTAACCCTAACCCTAACCCCTAACCCTAACCCTAGACCTAACCCTAACCCTAACCCTAGACCTAAACCAAACCCTAACCCTAACCCCAACCCCAACCCTAACCCTAGGCCTAACCCTAACCCTAGACCTAACCCTAACCCTAGGCCTAACCCTAACCCTAACCCTAGACCTAAACCTAACCCTAACCCTAAACCCAACCCTGACCCCTAACCCTAGACCTAACCATAACCCTAATCCTAACCCTAAATGTTAGTCCCTAGCCTCATTAACCTTCAACCCCTAACCCGAAGGGTTAGGGGCTGAAGGTTAATGGGGCTAGGGTTAGGATTACGGGAAAAGGGGTAGGGCCAGGCCAGGCCAGGGCCAGGGCCAGGGCCAGGGCCAGGCCAGGCCAGGGCCAGGGCCAGGCCAGGCCAGGGCCAGGGCCAGGCCAGGCCAGGCCAGGGCCAGGGCCAGGGCCAGGGCCAGGGCCAGGCCAGGCCAGGGCCAGGCCAGGGCCAGGGCCAGGCCAGGCCAGGCCAGGGCCAGGGCCAGGCCAGGGCCAGGGCCAGGGCCAGGGGCCAGGCCAGGGCCAGGCCAGGCCAGGCCAGGCCAGGCCAGGCCAGGGCCAGGGCCAGGCCAGGCCAGGCCAGGGCCAGGCCAGGCCAGGCCAGGCCAGGCCAGGGGCCAGGCCAGGGGCCAGGCCAGGCCAGGCCAGGCCAGGCCAGGCCAGGCCAGGCCAGGCCAGGCCAGGCCAGGGCCAGGCCAGGCCAGGCCAGGCCAGGCCAGGCCAGGCCAGGCCAGGCCAGGCCAGGCCAGGCCAGGGCCAGGCCAGGCCAGGCCAGGCCAGGCCAGGCCAGGCCAGGCCAGGCCAGGCCAGGCCAGGCCAGGCCAGGGCCAGGCCAGGCCAGGCCAGGCCAGGCCAGGGCCAGGCCAGGCCAGGCCAGGCCAGGCCAGGCCAGGCCAGGCCAGGCCAGGCCAGGCCAGGCCAGGCCAGGCCAGGGCCAGGCCAGGCCAGGCCAGGGCCAGGCCAGGCCAGGCCAGGCCAGGCCAGGGCCAGGCCAGGCCAGGCCAGGCCAGGCCAGGCCAGGCCAGGCCAGGGCCAGGCCAGGCCAGGCCAGGCCAGGCCAGGCCAGGCCAGGCCAGGCCAGGCCAGGCCAGGCCAGGCCAGGCCAGGCCAGGCCAGGCCAGGCCAGGCCAGGCCAGGCCAGGCCAGGCCAGGCCAGGGCCAGGCCAGGCCAGGCCAGGCCAGGCCAGGCCAGGCCAGGCCAGGCCAGGCCAGGCCAGGCCAGGCCAGGCCAGGCCAGGCCAGGCCAGGCCAGGCCAGGCCAGGCCAGGGCCAGGCCAGGCCAGGCCAGGCCAGGCCAGGCCAGGCCAGGCCAGGCCAGGCCAGGCCAGGCCAGGCCAGGCCAGGCCAGGCCAGGCCAGGCCAGGCCAGGCCAGGCCAGGCCAGGCCAGGCCAGGCCAGGCCAGGCCAGGCCAGGCCAGGCCAGGCCAGGCCAGGCCAGGCCAGGCCAGGCCAGGCCAGGCCAGGCCAGGCCAGGGCCAGGCCAGGCCAGGCCAGGCCAGGCCAGGCCAGGCCAGGCCAGGCCAGGCCAGGCCAGGCCAGGCCAGGCCAGGGCCAGGGCCAGGCCAGGCCAGGCCAGGCCAGGCCAGGCCAGGCCAGGCCAGGCCAGGCCAGGCCAGGCCAGGCCAGGCCAGGCCAGGCCAGGCCAGGCCAGGCCAGGCCAGGCCAGGCCAGGCCAGGCCAGGCCAGGCCAGGCCAGGCCAGGCCAGGCCAGGCCAGGCCAGGCCAGGCCAGGGCCAGGCCAGGCCAGGCCAGGCCAGGCCAGGCCAGGCCAGGCCAGGGCCAGGCCAGGCCAGGCCAGGCCAGGCCAGGGCCAGGCCAGGCCAGGCCAGGCCAGGCCAGGCCAGGCCAGGCCAGGCCAGGCCAGGCCAGGCCAGGCCAGGCCAGGCCAGGCCAGGCCAGGCCAGGCCAGGCCAGGCCAGGCCAGGCCAGGGCCAGGCCAGGCCAGGCCAGGCCAGGCCAGGCCAGGCCAGGCCAGGCCAGGCCAGGCCAGGCCAGGCCAGGCCAGGCCAGGCCAGGCCAGGCCAGGCCAGGCCAGGCCAGGGCCAGGCCAGGCCAGGCCAGGCCAGGCCAGGGCCAGGCCAGGCCAGGCCAGGCCAGGCCAGGCCAGGCCAGGCCAGGCCAGGCCAGGCCAGGCCAGGCCAGGCCAGGCCAGGCCAGGCCAGGCCAGGCCAGGCCAGGCCAGGCCAGGCCAGGCCAGGCCAGGCCAGGCCAGGCCAGGCCAGGCCAGGCCAGGCCAGGCCAGGGCCAGGCCAGGCCAGGCCAGGCCAGGGCCAGGGCCAGGCCAGGCCAGGCCAGGCCAGGCCAGGGCCAGGCCAGGCCAGGGCCAGGCCAGGCCAGGCCAGGCCAGGCCAGGCCAGGCCAGGCCAGGCCAGGCCAGGCCAGGCCAGGCCAGGCCAGGCCAGGCCAGGCCAGGCCAGGCCAGGCCAGGCCAGGGCCAGGCCAGGCCAGGCCAGGCCAGGCCAGGCCAGGCCAGGCCAGGCCAGGCCAGGCCAGGCCAGGCCAGGCCAGGCCAGGCCAGGCCAGGCCAGGCCAGGCCAGGGCCAGGCCAGGCCAGGCCAGGCCAGGCCAGGCCAGGCCAGGCCAGGCCAGGCCAGGCCAGGCCAGGCCAGGCCAGGCCAGGCCAGGCCAGGCCAGGCCAGGCCAGGCCAGGCCAGGCCAGGCCAGGCCAGGCCAGGCCAGGCCAGGCCAGGCCAGGCCAGGCCAGGCCAGGCCAGGCCAGGCCAGGCCAGGGCCAGGCCAGGCCAGGGCCAGGGCCAGGCCAGGCCAGGCCAGGCCAGGCCAGGCCAGGCCAGGCCAGGCCAGGCCAGGCCAGGCCAGGCCAGGCCAGGCCAGGCCAGGCCAGGCCAGGCCAGGCCAGGCCAGGCCAGGCCAGGCCAGGCCAGGCCAGGCCAGGCCAGGCCAGGCCAGGGCCAGGCCAGGCCAGGCCAGGCCAGGCCAGGCCAGGCCAGGCCAGGCCAGGCCAGGCCAGGGCCAGGGCCAGGCCAGGCCAGGCCAGGCCAGGCCAGGCCAGGCCAGGCCAGGCCAGGCCAGGGCCAGGCCAGGCCAGGGCCAGGGCCAGGCCAGGCCAGGCCAGGCCAGGCCAGGCCAGGCCAGGCCAGGCCAGGCCAGGCCAGGCCAGGCCAGGCCAGGCCAGGCCAGGCCAGGCCAGGCCAGGCCAGGCCAGGCCAGGCCAGGCCAGGCCAGGCCAGGCCAGGCCAGGCCAGGCCAGGCCAGGCCAGGCCAGGCCAGGCCAGGCCAGGCCAGGGCCAGGCCAGGCCAGGCCAGGCCAGGCCAGGGCCAGGCCAGGCCAGGCCAGGCCAGGCCAGGCCAGGCCAGGCCAGGCCAGGCCAGGCCAGGCCAGGCCAGGCCAGGCCAGGCCAGGCCAGGCCAGGCCAGGGCCAGGCCAGGCCAGGCCAGGCCAGGCCAGGCCAGGCCAGGCCAGGCCAGGCCAGGCCAGGCCAGGCCAGGCCAGGCCAGGCCAGGCCAGCCAGGCCAGGCCAGGCCAGGCCAGGCCAGGCCAGGCCAGGCCAGGCCAGGCCAGGCCAGGCCAGGCCAGGCCAGGCCAGGCCAGGCCAGGCCAGGCCAGGCCAGGCCAGGCCAGGCCAGGCCAGGCCAGGCCAGGCCAGGCCAGGCCAGGCCAGGCCAGGGCCAGGCCAGGCCAGGCCAGGCCAGGCCAGGGCCAGGCCAGGCCAGGCCAGGCCAGGCCAGGCCAGGCCAGGCCAGGCCAGGCCAGGCCAGGCCAGGCCAGGCCAGGCCAGGCCAGGCCAGGCCAGGCCAGGCCAGGCCAGGCCAGGCCAGGCCAGGCCAGGCCAGGCCAGGCCAGGCCAGGCCAGGCCAGGCCAGGCCAGGCCAGGCCAGGCCAGGCCAGGCCAGGCCAGGCCAGGCCAGGCCAGGCCAGGCCAGGCCAGGCCAGGCCAGGCCAGGCCAGGCCAGGCCAGGCCAGGCCAGGCCAGGCCAGGCCAGGCCAGGCCAGGCCAGGCCAGGCCAGGCCAGGCCAGGCCAGGCCAGGCCAGGCCAGGCCAGGCCAGGCCAGGCCAGGCCAGGCCAGGCCAGGCCAGGCCAGGCCAGGCCAGGCCAGGCCAGGCCAGGCCAGGCCAGGCCAGGCCAGGCCAGGCCAGGGCCAGGCCAGGCCAGGCCAGGCCAGGCCAGGCCAGGCCAGGCCAGGCCAGGCCAGGCCAGGGCCAGGCCAGGGCCAGGCCAGGCCAGGCCAGGCCAGGCCAGGCCAGGCCAGGCCAGGCCAGGCCAGGCCAGGCCAGGCCAGGCCAGGCCAGGCCAGGCCAGGCCAGGCCAGGCCAGGCCAGGCCAGGCCAGGCCAGGCCAGGCCAGGCCAGGCCAGGCCAGGCCAGGCCAGGCCAGGCCAGGCCAGGCCAGGCCAGGCCAGGCCAGGCCAGGCCAGGCCAGGGCCAGGCCAGGCCAGGCCAGGCCAGGCCAGGCCAGGCCAGGCCAGGCCAGGCCAGGCCAGGGCCAGGCCAGGCCAGGCCAGGCCAGGCCAGGCCAGGCCAGGCCAGGCCAGGCCAGGGCCAGGCCAGGGCCAGGCCAGGCCAGGCCAGGGCCAGGCCAGGCCAGGCCAGGCCAGGCCAGGGCCAGGCCAGGCCAGGCCAGGCCAGGCCAGGCCAGGCCAGGCCAGGCCAGGCCAGGCCAGGCCAGGCCAGGCCAGGCCAGGCCAGGCCAGGCCAGGCCAGGCCAGGCCAGGCCAGGCCAGGGCCAGGCCAGGCCAGGCCAGGCCAGGCCAGGCCAGGCCAGGCCAGGCCAGGCCAGGGCCAGGGCCAGGCCAGGCCAGGCCAGGCCAGGCCAGGCCAGGCCAGGCCAGGCCAGGCCAGGCCAGGCCAGGCCAGGCCAGGCCAGGGCCAGGCCAGGCCAGGCCAGGCCAGGCCAGGCCAGGCCAGGCCAGGCCAGGCCAGGCCAGGCCAGGCCAGGCCAGGCCAGGCCAGGCCAGGCCAGGCCAGGCCAGGCCAGGCCAGGCCAGGCCAGGCCAGGCCAGGCCAGGCCAGGCCAGGCCAGGCCAGGCCAGGCCAGGCCAGGCCAGGCCAGGCCAGGCCAGGCCAGGCCAGGCCAGGCCAGGCCAGGGCCAGGCCAGGCCAGGCCAGGCCAGGCCAGGGCCAGGCCAGGCCAGGCCAGGCCAGGCCAGGCCAGGCCAGGCCAGGCCAGGCCAGGCCAGGCCAGGCCAGGCCAGGCCAGGCCAGGCCAGGCCAGGCCAGGCCAGGCCAGGCCAGGCCAG